AAACATATGTCACATATAGTACTTTTGAAAAAGATGATCAGATAATATAGGCTTGAAAAATATTTGGAAATTATCTTCTTTGATAAACAGTAGTCATCAATAGAAGAGTCTAGAGAGAGTGAATTGTTGAGATTTAGGATAGAAACACATGGCCTTGCACTTACTAAACAAGTGATTTAACACTTGAGCCAGGCTTCTAGAATATTACCATTAATTTTGTATCAGACAAAAGAATCTCTGTCTTGTTTCAAAATAAGTCATTTAAAATTGGATCTTAAATTGAAATGGACAACAACTGTAAAAATCATATTTTCAAAATGTTCTAGAATGTAGGCTGAAGTAAGTTCCCTTACATGTATGTGTGTCCTTTTCTTTTCTCTTCTTTCTTTTCTTTTTTCTTCTTCTCATTTTTCTTTCCTTCCTCTTTCCTTATTTCCTTGCTTGCTTGCTTGCTTGCTTCCTTCCTTCCTTCCACTTGTGGAGCTTTAACTCAGGGTGGTAAACCTGAGCTCTTTTGCTCAAGGTTGGAGCTCCACCACTTTGAGCCACAGCTCCACTTTCAGTTTTTGAGTGGTTAATTGGAGATTAAGAATCTCACAGGCAGTTTTCTGCTCAGGCTGCCCTCCAACAGCCACCCAAAGATCTCATCCTCCGGAGTAGCAAGGATTGCAGGCACAAGCCACTAGTACTGGGATTTAAGTGGTTCTTATTGAAATCATTACTTCATTTCTCCCTGGATCATCTTCCCAAAAGATTTTACTAGCTGAAAAGATATAATATTAGAAGCATGCAAGTATTGTAGCCAGAGCCCATTGGTTTATATAGTTAAATTGTCTTCTGAAAAGCAAAATAAAACTAAACAAGGAAATATTCAGAGCCTACTTGTGGATATAATTCACTAATTCAGAGATTTAAGAGCTAATACACCTACTGATACAATCACCCTTAAATGTCGTAGTGAATTCCTGTAGAGATTATACTGGAACTATCTATTACATAATCTTGCAACTAACAAAAACAGTGAACTGTCATAGCATCTTCATTTCCTTGTTGACACTCTTTTAGAATTCGCTTTATTACTTCTCTCTTTTCTTGCTTTTGTTTCTTTGTCTTTTCTATTTTGCTACTGGGGTTCCAACCTAAGACACTGCACTTGCTAGGTAAGGCCTTGGCATTGAGATATATTGCAGCCCTGGTTGGTCTTCTGGTGTCTCTTCATACCATATAAATCTTTCACCTATGATTTCTTTCTTACTGCTGCTTTTTATCTCATAACCTTTGGAAGGTCACTGTATTTGCTGCCAGTAAACAAGCCCCAAATTTGAAAACATTGTCAGCCACAAATTTCAAAATATTGTCTTCAGTTTTCTTATCTATTTAGTTATATATTCTCAAGCTGTAATAAACATTAGCCCTGTGTCAAATGCTCTGATGATGTTACAGTTCTAACTTTCTTCCACGTACTGATAAATGACCTTGTATGTTAGTAATTATCTTAATTGATTTTTTGATGCTCTTTATACATCCTTAAACATTATTTCAATTCACATAATGTTATACTCAACCTTTTATTCATGCTATACTGGGGTTTCAACTAAGGACTTCATGTTTGCTACAATTTGAACCAGACCTCTAGTCTTTGCTTTGGGGGTTTATTTAATTTAGTTTTTATTTTATTGACAAGGTGATATAGAGAGGGGTTACAGTTATATAGGTAGTGAGTACATTTCTTGTCTAACTTGTTACCCTTTCCTTCATTTTTCTCCCTCTTTCCCTCCCCCCCAATCCCCCCATTCCATGCTTGGTTTTAAAAGGTCCCTTGCTTTTGGCCAAGATGGGCCTTGTTTCATGGCTGTTTTTTTCACTTCTAATAAATTTACTCTGTTTCCCTTACACATTTTTCTGCCTTTTAAATCTTTAGTGGGTATAGGACGCAAATTCATCCTTCTAGTAGGTATCAATAAAAAGAATATTTCACCCAGTTTGACAGAATGGGTTTAGTAAGGCTAGATCAAGAAAATACCAAAATAAAAAAATGAGATTGGGCAATAGCTGGTTAGTTCAAGTCATATTTCTCCTAAAGGTTAAAGCAGAGACTTCCCTGTAGCCTACACTTTTTAAAACGATTCTCTTTTTATTTTTATGACTGAGACTGGAACTCAACCTCAGGACCTGATGCTTTTGCTCTTTGATTATTACTCTATCAACTAAGTCATGCCTCTAAGCCCATGATTACACTCTGATGATTTTGGGTTTTAGGGGAAACTGTTCTGTTGGGATTTTTACTTGCTTTGTTTATCATGTGACTTTTTGTTAGATCAGGTCTACTGGGGCTTAATGTAGGATTCGAGTGCAAAAACAATGGTTTTTTTCCCCCCTATCACTTTAGCAGCTGTTAAATTTGAGGATTAATGAAGTGGAGAATTGAGATCAAACTTTTTAACTTCAGTGCAAATTAGGATACGGTTCAGGTCCATGTCTTCAGAGTGAATCAGGTGTTTCTGACTAAAGATAATGTATTTCCTCCTTGTTGCTTGTGCTTTGACTATCAGGTTGTTCCTGATCCCATTTTGTGGTCATCTGGTCCGTTGTAGGACTGATTCATTACAGCTGATAATTCGGGAAGGCACATTATTTATTGAGCATGGTGACAGGCATTGGAACTATCATGATACATAGGAGATTACTTCTGATTGCTAAGATTCCTACCCTATAGAGATAAACAAAGACAAATAAATGGCAAGGATGTGAGGAGTTTAGTGTGCACCAGGAGTAAGAAGTAGTTGTTAGATGAGGTTAGAGTAATGTAATTTAGTGGAGGCAAGAGATGGTGGAAGTGGTGTCCGGTGTCACCTATTCTAAAACATGACAGTAAGCATGCATTATCCAGACAAGGGTAGGCTGTGGAAATGGAGGCATAATGGAGGAGAGGCCTCATGGAGAATGAGAAGAGCCTCCCAGGCTCAAGCTCCTGTTATATATTCAGAGCACTAGGGGCAGGCAGGAAGGGTGGAGCCACAGATGGCATCAGGAATTGAGAGACCTGAAACTGGAGGGCTGAGCTGGAAGAAAGACTTTAAGGGGATTATCAGTTACATACACATGGTCAGAGTACAAAGGAAAGAGACTGATTTTTACAGAGGAAAAGTAGAGAACTAGATAGAATTTTAGAAAAGACTTGGACTATAAGGTGAATAGTGGTCACAAGCAGACCTGGATTTCTAGCACTGATTTTTTTGGGCACACACGTTGTGAAATAGAACCCATCTAGGATCCTAGGAACTGAGTTAGACTGGATGTTAGACTCTACTCCTTGTACTCAGGAGCCTCCAGGCAGGACAGAACTCAAACAGGAGTGCATAGTTGAACTTTTTGGGGAATTGTTTTATGGAGAATCCAGGTTAGAAATGATAGGTGTGAACCAGGGAGACAGACACACTGCGGGCATTTTAAGATATTAAGAATTGTTTGGACTTGGTAACTGATGAACTTTAGAGAATACAGTAACAAAAATAGGAAAATCTTTGTCATTTCATGAATGTGTTAGAATAGTCAGCATTCTGTGCTTTTGTTTGTCTCTTTTACTTTCTCTCCTCAAGGTCCAGTTCTTTGTTTCAAATAACTTATTCTGTAGGGAAGCTTGGAGAGGGACTTCTGTTAAATAGTAAACAAGTGCATTTGGGAGTCAGGAAACTATATGAAAAGTGATGCCAAGAGGGGACATCCTTTCTGTCTGAGTGTGGAGGGGGAGCAGAGTGAGCAGTAGGATTAGGATTTTAAGAGAGCATGTTGTTCTTAGAAGACAGAGGAGGGAGACTGAAGGTTAGAATCTCAGATGGAAGAAAAGACCCTGATGTTCCTAGTAAGAGCATCGACATACAAAACAGTATGTGCTTTGGGAGAAATCATGTGTCTCTGACTGATTTCAATTGTGGTATAGAGGGAATGATGCCATAGAAAAGAGGAGGTAGAGGTGAAATCCTGGTAATGTGCTCATTTATCTCACAAATATTTGTGTCTTTACTCTGCTGTGGCACCTGACAAAGAAGGGATCAATTAAACTGGCCACATCTCTTCCACTGAGATACGTTGAGGTAGTTCAATCTAAGTCAAGTTGAGCTCTATTGTGTAGTTTTTACCAAATTACTTTGAAGTTATTGTGGGACTTGGCTTGGGGAGGATACACTGAAGACAGAAAAACCAACTATGGCTACATTTTCTAGCAGTATGCATTAGAGACAGCCTGAGGCACTATTACTGAAGAAAGTAGAGTTGTGTCTCCACATAGGATGCCTTTCTTCCTTCCTAGGATGGCTTACTTACTATTTTCTCGATTTCTTGCCAGATACAATAAAACTGAGCTTCCTTTCCCAAATCTAGTATTTTTTAACCTAGTAGATGGACTGTTAGACCCCATGGCTTAATTTGAATGCTCATGCCTGCACTTCAATTTGGAGGTGTTATTGCTAGTTTTTCCTTCAGTATTTATTGTCAGGGCTAGCACTGCCATCTATGTTGATGTGCAAAGCACTGTGCTTAGAAGAGCTCTGAAGATGGTTTAATTATTTGTCATTTCTGTCTTGAAACCCTGATTACTTTTCAAACTAAAGCCTCTCATTTTCATTGTGCACTGAAAAATATAATTTGGATAGTCTGTCCTGACTACAAGTACACCAAGCATTTAGTTTTCTTATTCTTCCTAATTCATGACCATGTACTTAATGTCCACAGACATTGAGGAATTAAATCAAGCCCTGATCAAGGAGAAAATAGCCTGTTCCTGGTACTGACCTGAACACTGGAACATCTGGAAGGGATGTAACCAGATAGATAGGCTTTGTCTATTGGGATGAGGTAAATAGGTAGGAAGGACCCAGGCAAAACACCTCTGTTGACAACAAACAACTTCAGGCCTTCATTCTCCTTTCAACAGATAACAGGCCAGGTTTTCAACCCTCACTCTTTCCCTATATTTTCTTTGTATCCACCATTCTAAGCCATTAGAACTGGCTGAACAAGTACGGGTCTTCCAGACGAACTAGCAATGCCAATTGATCTTCTGTTTCAACAACACCGTCCCAGTACCCTAAGGCATAGATCCTTTTTCGTCAGCATGTCATAAGACAAAGTTGTATTTTCTTAGTCACCAGAAAGCTAATACTTACTTCCTCTTCCCTTGTTCTTACTGATATTTGTTTCAATTTAAACTATAAAATCCAGGTCAAAGAGTCTAGTCTGTGTTGAAAGACTTAAAAAGGATCCACAAGGATCATTTATGTGTCTTTGATTTTGGCTTACTTCCAAATCAGCAAATAAGTCCTGTTAAGACTACTTGACATATGGATGTAACTGATCATATGTGTTGTTTTTCTTCAGTTCTCTGGTTTGCTAAGTTGTGATCCTAACAATCTTTGTGTAAAGTGTAGGGAAACAACCAATATGAAGTAAAGGAAAGCCATATACTTGTTAAACTTGGATTCAGAAGAAGCTGTGAATTTAGCCTCTCAAGTAAATATGCTCTTCTCAACCTACATCTCCTTGTCAATTGATCTTATCAATATGGTTGTGCCCCAAGTCTAGACCTCTGAGTAATGAATTAAAATGTGTAGAGATTATTTTTTCTGTAAAAGGGTATAGACAATACCATCAGTAGTTTTTCCTCAGATGAAAGTAAAAGCACATTGGTAGTTATAGCTTCCTAAGGGAAAAGAAATAGATACATATTTCTATTAAACTGAAGTCAGAAGTCCCTAAGTTTTGAAGGTGGCATTTTATTTTTTAAATTGTTATCTTTCATGTCCATGAATTTCAGTAAATGTGACATTAGTTAATATCTAATTGGAAATATTAGATAGGTATATAAGACTATCAATTTATACTTGTAGCAATGTCATCCCTCAAATATTGTTTGTTTGATTTTATACTTTATACTTTATTTTGACTACTTAATTTTAACCTCTTGATAAAGTTTGAAATTGCAAAATGATTCAAGGTGGTTTTTATTTATATGGTTGCTTTTATTTTTTGGTGAATTGTGAGTTTAAGGACTTGTGCTCCCACCATTTATTTTTTTTCTTTTTTCTTTGTGTGTAATCTGAGCTGTGGTGGCTTGTGCATACATAAAATGCCAAGGTAAGCCTATCTTGATTCTTCTGTTGGAATGCATAATATCACTAACTGTTTACATTTGAGTGTGAAGATATTTACAGTGCTGGGAGCCAGTGGCTCACACCTGTAATCCTAGCTACTCAGGAGACTGAGATCTGAGGATCACGGTTCGAAGCCAGCCCGGGCAGGAAAGTCTGTGAAACTCTTTTCTCCAATAAACCCCTAGAAAACCGGAAGTGGCACTGTGGCTCAAGTGGTAGAGTGCTCACCTTGAGCTGAAGAGTGCAGGGACAGCGCCTAAGCCCAGAGCTCAAGCCCCATGACTACAAAAAAAAAATTACAATGTCATTTTTCATCTTGTATACAATTACTCATATGATAACTCATCCTGGCATAGAGCAGAGGTGACAAAGGTACTGTGAGTTTAGTCATCATGGGTAGGTCACAGCATTATAAAGAGAAGTAAACCCAGGAACCAGATTAAAAAATATGTATTTACAATATTAAGCTTCAAAAGGTCGAACTCTTTCTGTCCCAGTTACAAATATCATTATCTCATTTGATCTTTTTTAGCACTTAATATATCTGCATGCAGATATTAACAGATAACTTGCAATTAGCTTTAAGTAGCAGCAAAAGTGTAACAATACAAGCCTGTCTGACCTTAGAACCTAGAAGTCCACTCCATATAGCAATATCAGAAGGGGACCAGAAAACACAGTTGGGGGACATTTCTAAGAATGCTGGAATCCGATGAAAGCCAAGAGAGAGTGTTAACTTTTGAAGTCTGGAACAAGGCAAGATATTCACTCATCATGCCTATTCAACACAAGGAAAGAACTATTAGTTAACATATCACTATTAGTTAACAATATCTAATGTTTATAAACCTTACAGATGTCCACAAAAAGCTAGTGAGAATTGCCAGGCGCTGGTGGCTCACGCCTGTAATCCTAGCTACTCAGGAGGCTGAGACCTGAGGATCTCAGTTCAAAGCCAGCCTTGGCATGAAAGTCTTTGAGACTCTTATCTCCAATAAACCACTAGAAAAAAAAAATCAGAAGTGGCCCTGTGGCTCAAGCAGTAAAGAGACAGCACCCAAGCCCAGAGCTCAAGCCCCACAACTAACCAAAAAAAAAATCTATGAGAATTGATAAATAAAGATGGCAAATTTGAGGATGCAAAATCCACCCATGTACTAAATATATTTCCATTTGATAACAAGGTGCTTTGAAAAAATAAGAATTCAATGTTAGTTACAAAAATAAAACACTTTAAAATTTTAACAGCATTTAATATTTTACATAGCATTTCATGCTTTTGACCCAGCTGGTCTTGATCATAGGCCTCTTTTTTAAATGTTATTTTATTGTAAAGAGGCTGTACAGAGGGGTTACAGTTGCATGAGTAAGGCAATGAGTACATTTCTTGTTGCGCATTGTTCCCCCTTCCCTTGTTGTTCTACAACTATTCCTTCCTTCCCCTACCTCTTTCCTCTCACCCACACCCAAAATTGTAAAGTTCATTTCCAGTATACTGTCTTGTGGGTATCATCATGTCTTCTTGTAACTGGAATGACCCAGCTTATTATATGAAATGAAGTCTGACTTTATGCTGAGGCTGGCCTTGAATAGTGATCTTTCTCATTTCCATCTCTAGAGTCACTGTGGAGCTAGAGACATGAGTCACCATATATAGCTCATTTCAGAATGAAATATGTATCAAAATGTCTATCAAAAAATGATACACACCTAGGAATCAATATAAAAAAACTTTATCTCTATGTTGAGAAAATGAATGAATAAAATGGAAAACTGTAATGTCCCCAGTTATTCACATGAACAACTATTTTTTTTAGTTAGAAATCTTTCTAGACCTTTTAAGATTATTTTTATGAGTTCATGACCAGATAAGAAGAATAAGAAATAGAGGAGTAGTCCTTTCTTGCGTTGTTTCTGCTTTTTAAAAGTGCTGTCGAAGGTCTTTTTGAAGACTTTCTTTCTGGGAGGAAAGCAGTGGCACCTACAATAAGACACACAAGTACCACCAGTGCCATCACTGACAGCACCAGAGTGGTAACATTAACTGCAGACTTGGCATTACCAGCACCGGATCTGCATCAGGGACAAACTAAGCTACTTGTGCAATGTTGGATAATTTTGATGTCAAACTGGTCTTGTTACACTTTGAGTGGCAATGAATATGTGAGCAGCATTTTCCTCTGAGATATTTCCTGGCTTAAATGCAAAGGTCTGCTCAGAGTTGGCTTCACTTGGAAACAGGTTAGAAGTGTGAACTTGAAGAGCATTATCAAAATTGTGTCTCAGATCAAGCATATTTCCACTTATTCTTATAATCTACTCTTGAACTAAGGAAAAAACAGTTTTCAATGTTTTAGTAACTAGAATACCATATTCAATTTCCTTCTATGTATTCTTTTTCCATTTTTAATTTTATTTTATTGTAAAGATACTGTACAGAAGAGTTACAGTTACATGAGTAAGGCAATGAGTACCTTTCTTGTCAAGCAAGCATTGTTACTCCTTCCCTTGTTGTTCTCCCACTATCCCATCCTTCCCCCACCTTCCTCATTCATCCCCCCTCCTTGGTTATTCTTTTTTTTATTGTAAAGATACTATAGAGAGGGTTACAGTTACATCAGTAAGGTAATGAGTACAGTTCTTATTGAGCACTGTTATCCCGATTGTTTTCTCCATACTATCCCTTCCCTCCCTACCTTCCCCGAGGTTCTTTTTTTATTTTTAATAGTGATTAAATGATTACATAATTTCCCAAATTTCACAGTATTGTGGAATAATGATGCTCATTTAAAGTCACAAGCTTATTCTAACTTTCCTGGAGCAAATTGTCGGTTACAGTCTATAACATATAACAGTGTACACATATACACCATACATGTGATCAGCAGCATGGGCATATTTAGTAGTGGTTCAAACAGATGAGTTGGAGTTCTTTGTTTCGTAAGTCCTCTTAATTTTGTCATATCACCTAACATTTTGGGTATAACATCCACTTATCAGGGATACCATGTACCGTTTGTCTCTTTGCTCTTGGCTTACCTTGCTCAACATGATTTCTTCTAGCTCCATCCATTTCCCTGCAAATGCCATTATTTTGTCATTTCTAATGGCTGCATAATATTCCATTGTGTATAGATACCACAATTTTTGGATCCATTCATCTGTGGTGGGACATATGGATTGTTTCCATATCCTAGCTATTGTGAACAGTGCTGCAATAAACATGGAGGTGCAGGGTAGATGCCTAGAAGTGGTATGACTGGGTCATAAGGGAGGTCAATCTTTAGCTTTCTGAGGACCGTCCAGACTGCTTTCCAAAGTGTTTGTATAAGTGTACATTCCCACCAGCAGTGTAATAGGGTTCCTCTTTCTCCACATCCCCTCCAGCATTTGTCGTTGGCTGATTTGTGGATGTGGGACATTCTGACTGGGGTAAGGTGGTATCTCAGGGTTGTCTTTATTTGCATTTCCTTCACCACCAGGGATGATGAACATTTCCTCATGTGTTTCTTTGCCATTTTTATTTCTTCATCTGAGAAGTCCCTCTTTAATTCCCTTGCCCATTTAGTAATTGGTTTGTTAGGTTTGGGAGGGATTAGTTTCTTGAGTTCCCTGTGTATATACTGGATATTAACCCCTTGTCTGATAGATTGCTGGTAAATATTTTTTCCCAATTAGTTGGTTGTCTTTCTAGCTTGGTTGCGATAGCTTTAGCTGTGCAGAAGCTTTTTGTTTTAAGGTAGTCCCATTTGTCGAATCTCTCTCCAATTTGTTGTGACCCTGGGACTCTGTTCAGGAAGTTCCTTCATGTGCCTATTAGTTCAAGTGTCTCTCCTACTCTGTCCTGCAGTAGTTTCAGAGATTCAGGTTTAATGTTAAGGTCTTTAATCCATTTTGAGTTGATGTTAGTGCATGGTGATAGGCTGGGGTCCACTTT